GCAAGGACATCAGCTTGTTAAGCCCGTCCTGCATGCCCTGGGGCAAAGAGGAAAATTGGTCCATCCTCACAGAGGGTCATTTTAAACGACTCAGTTGTAGATTGACTACAAGTGCTGCCAAGTGCAGCGGGGCTGCCGTAGCATAGCGCTTGAAGAAGCGTACTTTAGGTCACCGACTTTTGGTTCTTCACAAGAACCAGTACAAGTGTAACGGATCGCAATCCGCTACCTCCAAGAGCTGACAGAACCTTAACACAAGGCTAAAAAACTCTCTTGTTTAGAATGTAAACTGATTTATTTGTTTTATCTGCGGCAAAGCCGCCCAATTTTGAATGTAAAGATTTTCCTAAATATATATCGTGAAATTCAAATACATGCATAACTACTGGCTACCCAGCCACGAACCGTATTCTTATTCGGGTGCAGTCACACCATGACCATCTCGTGTGTCACACACACCTGTTACCAGGGTCCGTGTAGCCCCGTTACAAGCTCGAGGCCCACTCAATAGTGAGATGCGCGCCGCTACGGGCAACTCTTTCGCTTCTCCATGAAGGATCAAAGCCAAAAGTGCGTAGGTCGTAAGCAGTTACGGCGCTAGTGATATTCTTCAAGTGGGTCCTCAAGTTTTCAAATGAAAGCATCCTTTTTACTCCACCAGATAATGCTTACGGGCCTGGTGTATTCGCTGGTCCACCAAATGTCCAACGAAAAAGTGGGTCATCCTTTAAGGATCGAGAATGCTAGCGGAGGCCAAACCGGGCTGAAGTAGCTAGTTATTTACTATCGACATCGCCACGCTCAGACCAAAGCAACTTTGTGGCAGCGTCAAAGGCAATCAAGGGTTTGCCAAACCACTCATATCAAATGAAAGCAATTCGGTCCAGCACCGCGGTTCTGCCTCACATCCGCGGATTGAGAAATTGCTGTAAAAAATCATCACTCTATTTACAGCCCATATCCTTCTTCTGACTGAAGTACATCTTCATAATATTTGAGACAGAATCATCCACCGCAACACAAAAGCAAAAATAATCGTCATCGTCAAATTGAATTAATATTTTCCATCCATCACACATTATGTTTATCTTAGTGCTTGCATACCATAGCAACGACGCTTGAATTGCATCTGTTTCTTCGACTTTCCAAATAAATGAATCTATGATGAAGACAAATACCACAGACGGAATGCAAGTGTCGCATATACCTTTTTGACTAGTACAATCAAGCTATTGTATACTCGCGTGGTGATTGTGCTGGTCAACAAATCTGCTTAAGAAGCCGCGACAAAAAATTCGTCACTTGCGATAATGATGTCCATCTTTGAGTTATGTGGGATGCAAAGGTGTGAGCCGTCTAGTCAAACATAAAAACCATTCAATGTGAAGGTCGAGGCCCTTTCTTAGAACTCCATTTGATTTAATCGACATATTGACGTCGGTAGCTTACAACAACCGCAGTCATCAAGAGTCGGTGTATTCGCGGAACCGCAAATACCATCGCGGTATGCTGGCTAAGTATACTCGGCAAGTGCACACATAAAAGATTATATTTCTTATTGAATTTTGGAGTATAATAGTTTCTGTCTTGTAGTGATGCAGAAAAAATAACTTTTGTGCGAGAAAACATAATTACGCAATGCTCAATACGCATGATGTTCATAATTCGACTACAAATAAAAAAAAATCGGTGATAAACGCATCAAAGAAAGAGTCGAAACCTGTTATCAAAATCCCATTTTCGAGAGAATAACGAGTTTTATGTCATACATAAAACTTGAGCTCTCATTTATTATTGTTATAGCCTCTTGTAAATTTAAAAAAAAGAGAGATTATGAGTAGCTGACTCTCAAAAATAGAATTGCTGCATCTCTTAACAAACACCTGGCAAAGCATTACAAACTCATGATACTCTATAACAATACAATTGAGGCCAGAGCCAGAACCGTCGACAAAAAAACAGACGAGATGACGATTTTAGCAGAGCTCGAGTCGCCACGACCAGATGAGGTTGAATCTCTGTCTGAGGGGCTATCAGTCGTCGCGTCACCAGTTCCACCATTTTCACCCACTGCTTTCTCTAAAGTGGGGAAACTCCAATCACTAGGTGCCTTTTCGCAATCTTCCGATGTCGAATTGCAGACTGTACATGTTGAGCCATAAAGCTCGCGCTTACACCCAAACCTAGAATTGCATTGTTCGACGTTTAGATAGCATGGCGGATTTTCGGCCGCAAGCTCTTGTGGCGACGGCAAAGGCAGCATGTGTTTGATAATACTTGAGCTTAGGCTTGAGGTCTCGATAAGTCCACTTGTAAGGTTGTGATAGGCCTCAACGAGCTTCGCAGCACGTTCAACATTAGCTTCCTCGTCTTGGGGATTTTCCCAAAACGAAATTCCATCAATCCAGACTCCATCCTCAGTGGCTTCAAATTCAACGCCGCCATCTTCACAAAATTCTTCAAAGTTGCGGTACGTTTTACCTGTAGTATTACTCACCATCGACGTGATCCCGACCAAATCATCGATTGTAATGAAGCCTAAAACGCGGTAGGCAAAGGTGCAGCTTACTCCATCAGGCATGACACCAATGTCACAAAGTCCCTTTCGAGAATTCGCACGACATTCGGATGACTTGTCCGTCCATTTCTGTAAGGAACATGAATTTGGATACGAGTACCAGACATTGTTTGGGTACGGGGCACGTGGGTCGGTTTCTTTTAACGTACCACCTACAAACGGTCCGACTTCAGGTTCCCCTTTGTCACCGCTAAAATAGTAGCAAGCCGTAGGAATAACTTCTTCGCCTGAAGATGTAGTAGAGCTCGGTGTACAGCGACCTGCGTCCATGGCTACCATCGTACCATATTCGTGTTGGCTAGCTGTCTCCCCGTATAAAGCGAGTGACTCGTTCGTCTGAGCGATGGCAATTTCGTAAAAAACAATGTAGGCCATTTCATTCTTGCGCGTGCAACGATCCTCAGACGAGCGTGTGTCGTAATTGATACCTTCGGCCTGAATGTACATGAGTGCGCCCTCCACTGACGCTGTATTAACCGTGTCCATCAGCCCTACATAAGCATCATTGGCGTCATCGTAATAGCCCGACACAAAACGCTGCAGCTTGTCGTTCCAGACGGGCATGTCACTTTGTACACGGGCTTGAACTACGTGCACGGGTGACATGTGGTATGAGTCTGACGCGACCGCAGATGACTTCAATGAGCTCATGAAATTGTTGGCTGAGCCGGACGACGTTTTGTGTTTGGTTTTGGACTTTGACGTCGAAGTGGACTTAGTGGAGGGGGTACTGATTGACGTGAAATTTAAAGTAGGTGCATTTGATGGCGACATACTTGCAGTCGCTTCACTTGACGATTCCTTGCCTGAATTTACTTCGCTAGACGACTTTTTGCCGGAACTCGCTTCGCTTGATGGCGTTTTGCTTGAACTCGCTTCGCTTGACTGTTTCTTACTTGAACTCGCTTCACTTGAAGTCGATTCACTTGAAGTCGATCCACTAGAAGTATTCTGATTTGACGGTGTCTTGCTCGAAGCGGAAGGACCTGATGCTGTGGTGGTGGTCGTCATGGATGTTGGCGTTGAAGATGTTTGAGTGGGCGATTTTTGCTCGGTCACGTCATCTAAGTCGGGTGTATCGTTTACGGCGCTGGAGTCATCAAAGTCTGACGTATCATCCGACAATTTTGCACAGAAAGCCACGGAGAAAGCTGCTAAAAGAGTTAGCGATGTGAACGCCTTCATTCGACCTACACTCTACAGACTCGAATGCAGAATGCACACAATCTAACAGACAATGCACACAAAAAGGTAGAATTGGAATTGAGCTGCGATGGACAGGAGACGACCCTGCACTTTAGTCGTCTAGTCTTTACAAGTCAGTCCATGTTGTCCGGCTGGATGAAAAAGAAGGGACACAAAAGGAAAAGCACAATGGGACGACAGATGACCAGACCACTAGTCACATGAATAGACCAGTAAAAAGCTTAATTTTCATTATTGTTTTGACGAGGCGATTCGAGACGACAATTTTAACAATCGCCATGCTCCGCAACTGCCCTTAAAGGGCGATTGGAACATCATTACCGACGCAATAGCATTAGCACTTGATGCCAAAGGTCGAATATAAATGCTTAATGCAATAGTTTCAAACATGGTCATTCTGATTATATGCATGGTCGATTAACTCGTTAGCTAACCTTACATGAATAGCTCTTTTGTTGAGAAATTCTACTTCTAAGTTTGATTTTTAATTTCTTGTGAGAATATTGCATCATTTTGTATCACATCACCCACTGTACACAGATTATCGTATTCTTAATACATACATTAAATGATCTCTTTTCGGCCTCTCACTATTCTAATCCTTAATGACATGCTCTAGACTCGGGTCACTATTTCTCGACCTTGAACTTTACTTATACTTTGAAGTCCTAATTGCGGTATGTCAGTCTTTGCAGTACTTCATGTAATTGGCTTCAGTGCTTGATCATTATATACGCATTTACTGACAAGAGAACAAAGCAGGATTAGCATGCCAGAGCATCAGGTGATGCAATTCAAGCGCCAAGGCTAGATCATAAAATTAAAGTTTGCAATGGTCATCGTCAATATGATGGCGATTTCTGTGCTTTTGTTTACTTATTTGCTAAATCTCTCATCATTGCAGTGAGTATTCATAATTTTGCTGCAGCCAGTCTACAATGCAAGACAAAATTATGACGAAAAATGATGCTTTTCGAGCATGCGGAAGTAAAAGGTCGCGAAATGATTATCTGCAACAGTGTTGCCATGTACCTAGAAAAGTTGGAGCTTAACGTCTTCACTCAACAAAATACAAAGGAAGGACGTGGAGCGCGGATCCCCAGTACTTTACACTTGCTCAAATTATAAATCATAGTGAAAGCCACTTCAAATCAGTATTTTTATGTACGTTTTATCATATTATTCCTATATAGCATAACCCTGATTTGTTGTGCACCACGCACCAAGAGATTTGCCTTTAAAAGTCCGCGTTACTAACACACAAAAAATGAACTCACTGTGGTGTGCCACTTAATGTCCAAACGATTCGTTTCTAAAATTATATATCTAGAATGTAAACAAATACTAACTATAATGTTTTAAGCTTATATAACGTATATACATTCAACGATTTTGAATTTTCAGTGATGGTCACAATTCATGGTGGCTTCAACATGCAGCAAGCAAAATTGATGCAAGATAAACAGAACATACGAAATAGAGTTGACAATATTATTTATTTTCCGGGAGTAGATTTTTAGCAATATTTAGGAGACTGCTTGCTATCTATAGTGACAAAATCTTATGAAATACGTAACGCGAGTAAGCAGCCCTCGTGTCGCGAAGACATCTTAACCAGGTACATATCAGCAAATTCATCGTGGTAGCTCACTTTAATTCAAGGAATGTAATATGTTCGTGTACATACTCGTTGTACGTTTTTCACCGAGATGAGAATTTCGCTTCCAATCGCAGATCATTCTAGTCACAAATCCATCGAGTTTACAGGCTTAAAAAATAGATTAAAAAGCACATCGGGGTGCCCTAAGTGCAACTTCCAAGCCATGAGATGTTTCCACAAATGCTTATTAAAGCGCACGACTTGAAGAGCCGCAAACTAGACGCAACTCCACGGCTAACGTGTAGCCAATGTCAAACAAACGTTGGCGATCTCTTCTCTCATGAGAATAGCTGAGTATAGGTGCATTGCATCTGCTTTGTATTAAGACCGCAATGCCTTGACGACTTTCATCGATTAAAGCTTCTAGGGCCTGAACGCTCCCAGGATATTTCGCGTCTGCTGCGCGCGCCATGCCCGTTATCCGAGGCGTGAAGTTTCCCTTAGTGATGACAAAGGTCGGTGCAATAAATTATGAAGCAGTCTGGAGCGGGGCTCCCGTAGATCTTTGCTGAGAGAAAGCTATGCTAAGGTCCGTGATCATAAGTTCTTTACAAGCACCAGCGAAGTGCAGCGAATCGCAATCCGCTGCCTCCAAGAGTGCTTAAGAACTTAGCCAAGGTGAATAAACTCCTCTGTTCAAAATTGTATCTGTATTTAATGGTTCAAGTTGAGGAAGAGCCGCCAATATCTAGAACCCTAGATTTTCCTAATTAATATAGTAATACCTAATTAATATAGTAAAACCTGATTAACATGCATGCAATCCTGCCACGTAGTGGCTTCTTGTTACGGTGTAGCCACACCATTGTGTGATAACCCCAACTTGTGTATTCCACATCTTTGTACGGTCACATCATCCTGTGCGGCCCGCACATCATACAAGGGTACGTGTAACCCCGTTACACTCTCCCCCATAAAATTGTGAATATCCACAATTCAAATTTAACTGTTGCCTCATACGAGGCTCGCGTATCTGTGATACCGTTACGTTCCTACGAACAACCATACACATTCTTCGCTCAGTGAGCCCTGTGTCTACGACTTGCAGAAAAACACCCAGTCTTGCTGCTAGCGAGGGCGCCCGCGGGCTAAGCACTTCTTCTTCTTCTGCACAGGGTACATCTCTGGACAGTACGTCCACGTCTACACGGGGAGCACATTTCCCAGCATGGTATGACGAGGAGGATGAGGTGCGTCAACGGCGCGACGTGAGCGCAGGCGTACACCATGTCTACTCCCCGACCTCTCGACTTCGGGAAGAAGTGGTATTATTACCAATCGCCTCGACGAGGCACAGGAGCAGCGGTTGGAGGCTGTCCAATGGACGGCTCTCATGCGCTCGCATCCACGGTCAATCCTAGACTCTCGCATAGAAACAGGCTTTCGTTTGGCAGATCCACCGACTGAAGCAAAAGACACGATCACTCAATCGTTAGGCGTCTACATAGTCATACCCATGGTCACTACGCAATCTAAGCTTGACGAAAAAAAGTTCTCCTATGCTCGCTATTTAAAGCAGCATGAAATTTCAATGGATCGGTACTGCGCTCGACTGCGAGCACAGAAAGGAGATGCTCCTGTACCAACAATGCGGACTATTTCTGTGGTCCACGTCATTGGCACAACCGCTGCAGATGGTGAGAAGCTCATCGAGCGATGGGTGCAGCGGCACCGAGAAATTCTCTTGCTGTCTACTGACAGCGAAGCTACATAGAAATGAATGTACGCGTCTAGCGCCATCTTCGATTTAAGTTTGCCAAACGCAACACGCAACGCCGACTTCCTGCGTATCGTCGCCCTGCGACAAATGGAACTATCCATCACGCTCCCGCGAGCTCTGTGGTTTCTCACACGGGTGCGTCTACGACCACAGCAACTCAGTGCCATAGTTTGAGCTCCGCTCATGACCTTTCGGCTTCCAGGGCTACTGCCAAAAAGCGCGAAGCGCACGATGACGCGAAGCGTCATGATCCTTTTGGTCATAAGCGTCCACAACGTCTGGGCAGGATTGCCGAAGTGGCACCTCAAACTCCCACGAAATATTGCGTTTGACCCTGTTCACGACGTCGACCCACACTGTGTTCCACGTGGTAGTGGACGCCACCATTCTCATCGAGAAGAGTCGGTGGCGGGCGATGACGACTTGGGTGATCGCCATCCGTGACTCGCGATGCTCTTCGAGCGTTGGGGGACAAAGGCTGTCGGATCGTAACTCCACCGAGCATCTTTCCGAGGTCGATTACCGCTGTCCGGAATACCTCGAGAGCCTGAAGCACTTTGTGCAACCGACTGTCTCACGTTGAAAGCTAACTCGCTCTGTCGGAGAGGCTCCTGGCCGTCGAGCAGACGAACACGTCACTTCGTGCTGCGGTGGAGCGTCTTGTGCCGTTGGAAACGAGACTTGTTGCACTCCGTGCTCAGAGCCAGTTGCTGGTTCAGCTTCTGGGGAGGCGAGCGCCTTTAGGCGCCACTACGGTTCCAACACTTCCGCGTTCACGTGCGCTGAATCCCGGTACAGCTTATGCAAGCCCACATAATTTTCCGGGTGGGTGCACAACCTTCTCGAAAGGAAACTCAGCATATACGAAAGGTCAAGAAACACCAGGTCCCCGCTCTTAATGTGTTCAACATTTCTTCTTCCTTTTTCGTCTGCATATTCATTCTGCATGTCTTGGCTTTCAGCCATCGCGAATGTGTCGTAAGACACTCAGTCAGATAGACAGTAAGTCTCCGACTTCTTTACGCACAGTGAAGGAGCTTGCATCAGCTAGCCGTTTGGCTATTCCTCCCCCACCAAGCCCGGAGTCATGGGTTGGCGGCGTCAGCGGGACGCGAGGATTAACAAGCCCGTTCATGTTGAACGGTGTGTAGCCGGTAGAAGAATGCAGTGCATTGTCATCATCATCGGCGCTGAGACGCCGAAGCGCTGGAACGCTATATTGCCGCTGAAAGAGTTTGCACTAAACGATTTTCGTATCGGTACCTCGACTATTCACCCGTGTGTATGACAAGATCACACGGGGTGTAGCAACTGCTGGAGGTCTCAAGAAAATATTATTTGATCGTGCCCTTGCATCCAAGTTGGCAAGCTTATCAGACGGCTACAAAACCCACGCTTTGTGGGACACGTTAATTTTTCAAAGGTTCGCATGGTTCTTGGTGGTCGAGTAAGACTTTTTTTTTCAGGCTCTGCACCCTTGAGAACCGAAGTGAAAGAGTTTCTTAGAGAATTTTTTTACGACGCGATTCTCGCGCTCAATCTGACCATCGGACTGCGGATGTTCCACTGTTGACATAATTTACTTGGTGCCCAGCACCCTGATGATTGTAGACCAAAACCTCACAGTAAAGGGTGGGTTTGCATCCGAGACAATTGACTTCGAGAGTACGTGCTGTCAAAAGACAAGATCGCCAAACAGCATCGCTGTGCCCACACCGTCGACGGTGTTCGAAACTGGAGCAAGATGAGCCATCTTGCTCAAACGGTCCACAAAGACCACAACACCGTGTTGCCCGCCAAGTCCTTCTGTAGGCCAAACACAAAGTCCATAATCATGGACTGCCAACGCACGGAGGGTACAGGTAAACTGGCCAGCGGCGCTGCCGCATTTGGAGACAGTTTTTGACACGCCACACACGTGTGCACATATGTGCTCGTCTATTTGTACAGCTTGGGTAGCAACTCACCGAGCTGTACGTCCTCTCACGACCGAGATGACCACTGAGTAGGTTGTTGTGGGCCCCGTAGAGGATACGGTATTTCATATCCTCATCGTGAGGAACCACAATTCGTGGCGTAATAGTTGAATCGGTGCTATAATACAGCAACCCGTTATTCAACGAATATCGATGTAACCGTGCGCGCAAACGCGCCGACAATTTCTGGTTTGATTTCCAAACTCTTTGCTCTGGAGAACCTGCAGCACATACTATCACCCGCATATGCGGCGCGGATCAAATATAAATGTCGACGTCACCATCGTGATATGAGCTAGCTCATAGTCCGGTCTGCGTGACAATGCATCAGCCAAAGCATTCTGCTTTCCTGGCTTATATATTTCCTTAAAAAAAATTCTGCGAAGTAGTAGAGCCACCTAGCCATCCTTTGTGAGAGGTCAGGCGACTGAGTGGCAGTGCGTAGTGACGCAGGATCTGTGTAGATCACGAGCGGCTTAGAGCCAAGCAGGTGCACCCTAAGCTTGACAAGAGTATACTTTATCGAAAGTAATTCTTTGTCGTGGACTGGGTATTTCCTCTCCGCAGCCTAAAGTTAGCGATTTTCGAACGCGATCACCCGATCTCGCCCATCGGCGTCTGCATGTGGCAGTGCACAGCCGATGGCAAGTCCGAAGCGTCACAGACGACATTAAAAGGACAATCAGGGTCTGACACCACCAGTGTTTGTGCATGAAGAAGGCTGTCTTTGACCCGGCCAAAAGCCTCCCGATGCTCTGTGTCTCAACACCATTCCGTATCCTTGTTTAGAAGATTCGACAATGGCCTTGCCATTTCCGCATAATTTCTGCGCTATATTGTGCAAGTAGATGGCGAGGCCAAGCCACTTGCAAGTTCTTTTGAATTCTTTTGACCCGGCCAGTCCATAATGGCTGTGACTTTAATGGGATCTCAGCGCTTGAAACGTTTCACCAGTGCTTCAGACCCCACAGGTTAGCCCTCATCAAGAGTCCCTCTTGTGTACAGAGGATGAATCGTTGGGCGGGTCCGAGCCTTTTTTGCTGATACGCTTTCAGTCATATGCGCTGGCAAATGTGCCAAAGCGAACCTTTTCTTTTACTCACTGAGTGGCGAGGGTAAAATGCCTAACCCGTTTTGTGGCTTCGCGTAAACGTCGTCAGACGTCCAGCTAGAGCGTCGTTCAATGCATTACTTGGGTACGTAGCAGAAGTCAAAGACATATCCAACCAATTTGTGTTGTTAAAACTCTGGTCATCTCCATGTACAGCTGCCGACGACATATTTGAAGCTGGAGCAAAGTCAAACGCCTTAGTGAAGCGCGTTCCGCTGTGCAACTCTTCTTCGTCTCATGGGACACAAGATGCAGCAAGTCATGAGTATTGGCACCACCTGTAACGGGTTACACGCACCCTTGTATGAAAGAGCGGGTCGCACATGATGGTGCGGCCGTGAATAGGTGTGGATTACGCAGATTGGTGCGGTCACACAATGGTGTGGCTACACCGTGACAAGAAGACCATACGTGGCAGGATTGCCACTAGTAATGCATATTAATTAGGTTTTACTATATTAATTCGGCATTACTATATTAATTAGGAAAACCTAAGGTTTTATATATTGGCGGCTTTTCCTCAACTAAAACAATTAAGTACAATCTCTACTTGAACAGAAGAGTTCATTTACCTTGGCTAAGGTTTCAAGTACTTTTGGAGGCAGCGGAATGCGATCCGCTGCACGCGTACTAGTTCTTGTAAAGAACTTTAGGTCGGTGGCTTTGGCTTAGCTATCTTTCAGTAATGAGCTAAGGCAGCCCCGCTGCTCTTGGAAGCACTTGTTGGTCAATTTACGCCTGAGTCGATGCGGCTGAATCTCTGTGAAGATAAAGGACTACTCCTATTTATCCCAGGGCATGCAGGACAGGCTTAATGAGCTGATGTTCCTGTTGGCCCCTGGGCGTTGAGCACCTTGCTGCGCAAGGGCCCGACGCAAATAATGCACGCCTGGAGATGCTTCGAGCTATAGATATGCTCTGCTTTACAGCAGAAGCTGTCAGCGTCGACTGCGTCTATGACGCCACCGTCGACGACGGATGATACCTTTCAACCCAGTCGGCCCAAAGTGAGCGTTAGAATCTTTGAGAGGTGAGGATGGAGTGAATTTTCTGCTCTGAGTGAAAGAGGCCGGGATGGCAATGGCATCCGCCATGCTCCCGACCAAGCAAGAGTGCGTGGTGCTAGCTATATGCTCGGGGGGCGACCGCGAGAATAGCCATTAACTTCGGTTGAAGCTGCTTCCCCTGTTTTGATGAAGCAAAAGCGTCATATCTCGTGCGATCGCGTTTACTTGCTGCCCGACAGGGTAAGAAAGAGTTGGTGGACAATATCCAAGAGCTGCGATCTCTCATTGCCGGGATAAAAGCCGATTCTCTTCCCGAGGCGGTCGCAATGACCGTCTTTATGGAGGGCCTCCGCGCTGGCATGACCAGAATATTCGTTTTCCGTGTGCATCCGGCTTCTTTCGAAGAAGCGGTGTATTTTGGCATTGAATGCCTTATTCAACTTCTCGGCACGATTTAGCTGGAATTCACACCATCAGAGCTCGTCGAGCGGACCTGAGCCAGTGAATCTCGGCTATGCTGAGAAAGAGGAGGGAGAGCTTCGAGCTGCCGTACAGCGATTAAACATCCGACGGTATTTTCTCTGTAGAGACACCCGTCACCTTCGGGCTAGTTGTCCCCCGCGCAAGGCTCGTGAAGGTTTATCAATCCAACGTCTCGCTTCTAACTAGTCTGGTATGTCGCGGGGAAACGACAAAGCCCAGTAGGCGCGAGGCGCCCGACAGGGGCAGAACTGAGTTATGTTGAGTCTCATAGAGCTAGAGGGCAGCAGGGCCAAGCCTTGAAGGGCTCCGTGCTTTGAACACGTATAAGCTGTATGCTCATGCTGCTAAGTGCATCTTCGGCGCGGAAGAAATTCTCTTTTTAGGGTGCTTCATCGGGAAGCGTGACCTTCATGCGTATTGCTCGCATTGTAAGAGCCATCTTAAAATACCTCGCCTGATGAATGCCGGTAGATCAAATATTTAACCACGACGAAGCTGAAATCATAACGTAAAAGCTTTCTCTGTGCGATGCGCACAGCAATTCCGTTTTTTCATAGCACGGTTAGTGTGGATTGGTGTCGCCAGTCTGAAGACGTCCACTTGGGAGAAATTGAGCAATTAAAACATTTTATGAAGCATGATAACCAGACGTATGTCGGAGCACAACCACTATCCATAGAGCTTAGTAAAAAGAGTCCGGTTTGACGAAGCATCAATATTTTGAGGGCATGAGAAATTAAAATGTCATTGCTTTGATCCTAGTCCACACTCAGCACAAGTGCGTAGCTCCAGCAACTCCATGCGAGGTGGTCGCACTCAAGTACAAGTATTTAAGTGTAATGAGTATAAAATCAAAGCATTTGACATCTTCATGAAGGGGCACCCTTCCGGTGTGGCTCGCATCAACATTTTCCGCAATTCCGCTACCCCTTTTAGAATTTGGCGGCTGTTGCATTGAATTCAAGTTTTTGCATCCGTACCTTGAGGATCAATTGTAATCTAATTGCGGAGATTCTTTGATCGCAGGGTGGACCTCAGCTAAGCAAAAAAAAGAGCCAGTGAGCTCTTAGCTGCCGAGCAGCTCCGTGTTCTAAAAGTTGTTCTATTTATGGCAATGTCAAACATCATTGCCGAAAGGTGACACTTGTTCTCGGTCAAGGATAAGAAGAATCAAGCTTTGACGCAGCGTCAATCGTTGAACCGACCAGGCTTGTACATAGTATAGAATGTGTGTTCGGCGGATAATGGGTACGTCTTCGCGGGTAATGTATCGCTGTGTATACTTACACACGATTGTACAGCGTAAAAACGAATTGGAGATAACCAGTGCTGTGTTAAAGTTGACAAGAGAATACGAGCTCGTTGTCGTAAGCTTAGTAATTCTTTAGGGCAGCGTTTAGTGAGAAACAAACTCAATAATGTGTTCATGTCCATTGGCATAACTCGAAATAAATCACAGCATATACACAATGTCCAAGGCTTTACGAATAAATCAACGACCCGTTTGGATTCAAAAGACCATAATGAAGAGCGTTCGCACGGTTTTACACCAGCCATAAACGCTGACGCTTCTGTTGTGTCCCAACACCATTAATAATTTAAATAGACTGAAGGGGGCTCCGTGACTTATGGTATATTTCGCACTAAAAATCAAATAGTGGGCCAGACCAACCCACTACATCAAGTAAGTGACACTGAAATATGTAGTATCACCATAAATCCGGCGGGATCTTTTTAGAAGCTACTTTTTCCAGTGAGGCATTCCAATAACGGAAATATGTCATCCCAACGACACACTTGTCCGCATCGGCGTATAGGGTGATTCAATGCATGAAGTCGAGCTCGCGAGTGTTCAATGTATCCAATCTGCCGCTTTTTGCACGAGACGGGCGACGAGATTGGCTAGTGAGTTTGCACAATGCTGCTCAAATAGCTGTATTACTCTTTCTCCATTTAGACGGATCCAGAAGTTTTGTGTCACATTTAAGATGGACAACTGCATTCATGATATAACACTGAGAGAATTTAGCTCGAAGTATCATAAACATCACACAGCTAGTTAGTAATAACAAAGGACCAAATCAAGAGTATTTTAAGGTACACCGTGCCATGTTGTTCTGCAGCACAATCATTTAGCAAATTCAAATTGTGGATGTGATCAGGTGATCCGGACTCCACCTGCAGTTAACCTTCTTACCTGTTGCGTCATCGACGAGTGAAGAAATGCTTTTATCTCTCAGTCACTTGCTTTGAGCTTTTCGCGTAAGAAGTTGCATTGGTTCGATAAAAAGGACATTCGCGTGTTGACAATATCTGGATTCAGGATCCATGTCAATCTTATTAAGAATTTCAAATTCGAAAGCTAGACCCGTGGGAGTCTATCGTAACATAATCTGACATGCATACACATATAATATTGTCCCTTGGATTTGGAATAAAGCTACGAGTTATCAAGGTGAAAAACAGTGATAATGTATCCTGACGAGTACTTAAATTAAATAGTGTTGACGGTCCAGGGTGGGCGGTCCGAGTGGTACTGAGCTGGTAGACTGACGCTATGTATTACAAAAGCTTTTATTATCATAAATATTGACCTAGAGATATTATGTACATGTTAAAGCCGATATAAACTCCTGAAATCGGCATAGAACGTGCCTGGTTATTAAAAGATAGCCGGTACCGCTCCTAGATAAAGCCTACAAATGTCAATTTGATTTATCGTCGATTCGACGACTGATGCTGATAGAATACATACTGTGAGAATAGAGCACAATATGTTGATCTAGCTGTCCTTATGGCAGCAAGACACGCTTCATAAAGCTTTGAATTATGTGGCACAATAGACATCCCAATGGTAGCTCGAGAGCCACACTTTGTTATCGAGCGCCGAGAGGTATTGCCTAGTAATATTACTACCTTAAGAAATGCTCTGCTATTACACCTTACCCAGGCGCCTTAAAAAAGCTCAACAGACACCTACAATTAAGGCGGTATTACTTTTCGTGCCCACAATCCATGGATCGACAGAATGTTCATATAGTGACGCCACGCGCTTATTATCTAGTGGATCTTTGGTGAGTCATGGACTCACCTCTGCTAGCGTTTTTGCGAAGGCATGGGGGGGGCTATAGTTAGGGTATAGTGCATATGGATACTGCGAAGTAGTTCCGTATCTCTACGACACACCCGTTCGAGCGAGATTACAGTAATATTGTAAGTATTACGGTCCAACTCTTACATCGTTGAGCACGGTCAATGCTTGTCATGATGTAATGATACTGTAGAGTCAGCAATACCACGTGACGTGTATACGATGCGGGGCAGTAAAGCCCCTCGAGTTTGTGGCGAGAAAGTTAAATGCACTCGTAGTTGGAGTAATCAAGGTAGTCCAAAAAATACAGTCATTATCTCGAGCAAGGACCCCTGGTGAAATTAAAAAAACATGTTTATGAGATATGTGTAAGAAATTGCAAGACGGTGGGATCACAAATTTTTTTAATAGTAAGCATCGTGAAAAACTGAGGTCATCATTTGTCCTGGATGAATTTGTTGTTGGAGACACTTGCAGAGCACTGAATATCATGAGCAGGACGGCATCCTTATAAATCATCCTACTCATTGCTTTTATTCTCCGACGCTCTCGAAAATTTCACCAAGAACGCTCTCCTTTAATTAAAGAGTGTGCTATAAACGTTACCCAGTCATTGAAACAAAATACTGCGTCACACGTCAATGGTCATTGTCCAAGGCAACTTTGTGACATCATAGACGTTTGGTTACATGCAAAGCATATTAATCGGATTTTGTGAGGGGGTATCACTTCACATGGTGGCGGCTTTGCCTTTGAAAGCATCGCGATTTGCTGTAAATTGAGCTTGCTTTAACCGCTAATTACCGTCGTCATGCCGATGCAACGCTGGTTTCGAGAAAGGCGCGCTGAGAACAGCACAGTCAGTTGCATTTTGTTAAGTGAGCTTGGCCAAGTTAATCAGCTGATCTTGACAGACAGTGACATCACTCTCACTGCAATGAATTTTTAAGCGCTAAGCAATGATTTATCGCGCACATTACAAAGAGGGAAATTTTACTCCACGCGTCCGCGTTGATAACGACATGGAACCTACGCTCATTCTAAGAGTAGAAAAGAAGTTTTTCGAGTAAATGGTACTATTTAAGGTATGGTATAGATTTGAGATATATGCTAGCTCGGATTGATACCACTATCTACAATATAATACCCTGCGTAATACATCGTATGCATCCAGCAGCAAAGTACGTACAAGCCACTTCTTTGGCGAGTCTCTCATTCCTTTCGTGCCATGATAGCTCATCATTGTTATCTTTTGTACTTATAAAGCTTCGCTTCAAATTTTGAGAGACCCTAAAGGCAGTGTGACAAAAGTGCTAGTCGTACAACTGGTTCGTTACCGCCTTACCAAAAGCTGTACAGCAGCGCAAATTCCCCGTCTACGAAAAATCCCCATGACCGTGGCATTCTCTATGTTCTCTATGGTCCATCTAACTCTGAACTAGCTCCTCACTCCGTGTTTGGACACTGCAGTAAAGGGTGTTGCAATAACCCGCTGTGGATCACATGGCAACATCCAGCTAGTTATCAGTGCGATAGACTAAGATCAGCAAACCCAAGTTGCTCGTCTAATTGCAGTCACTTTAATGCAGACGCTTAGACTAGATCACGTTGTGATTATGGTTTCGATTCATGTAAGGACGCCGTTGCACGGCAGCAGAGCCCTTACTTGCCAATTCATACAAATCTAAAGCTCAAACCGTGAGTGCTCGAACGCTGCTCTGAGAGTGCTTTCTCGCTCTACAGCTCACCATTCCGCAGAAGTGCTGATCGTGCCTGGAGCGGCTGGGTGATCATCACTCTTTATAATGTACTGTCGCACTAAGAAGTTGCCAAAAGTTCGGACAGCAACAAACTAAATTTGCGCACTGATATAAGAAGGCATGCTACTTTACTCATCTAACCGGCCTTACAAGCCAGATTCAGTTAAGCAGACCGCCGACATAAGCATCATCGTTAAATGCTTGGTGATGTAAAGTGCAAAGCACGGCGTAAACGTCGAAATGAACGCAATTTTGTGCTGCAAGTAACCTTGCTAATCTGCATGAGCCTGATGGTACAGCTACCCGCCAGAAATACAGCTTAAACTAAGGCCGTGCTCTACCCGCTAGCTCAAAAGGCGTTCCGCGGCACCCCCGTATTTTCTTTTCAAAGACAAAGAGGGCGGAGAATGACTCTCGCGGCTGGTAAATTGGGTTATGGCGGCGCGTTGTCTTGTCCCAAGGATCTCGGCGTGCGGCCAATACTGACACGAGCTATTACTCCTGCGAGTTGTAACGGGGGTTTCACGTGCCCTGGTTTTAAAGGTGTGGTCACGCAAGATGGTGTGACCACAGCTACACTTAAACAAGAAGTCAGTACGTGGCTGGAACAGCCAGTAGTTATACATTGACTTAGGGTTTACTATATAGATAGGAAGCCTACAGATTTGCATTTACGCAGCTTTGTCGCAAATAAAACCGAGAAATACAGTCTACGATTTATAACAAAAAAATTATTTGCCTTGGGTTAAGGTTGTAATTACTTTTGGAGTAAGTGGATTGAGATCCGCTATACTCGTACTGATTCTAAGTATAAAGTTGAGATCAACGAAGATCACCATCCTTAACCAAGCTTCCTCCAAGCGAAAGAGCTACGGCAGCCCCGCTGCACTTGGTATCATTGGATGTCAATCTTCACCTAAGTCGTTACGATTGGCTTTCTGTGAGGATGCAGCAATTCTCTTATTTGCGCCAGGGCATGCAGGACGGGCTTAAAAAGCTGATATCGCTGCTTTGCCCTGAGGGCGCGTCTAACACATCGCTTCGCTAGGTCCTGAAGCGATCAGCGCGCGCCTACAAGCGTTTTCAAGATATGTGAATTCTCTGCTAGAGCACCTACAGCAGAAGATGTCGGCGTCGAATACGTTCATGACACCACCGTCGATGACGGATGACTCCCTTAGACCCAAGCCGCTCATTGTGAGTGTTAGACCCACGGCAAGGAAGGAGAAAATCTCCTCATTTCGGTGAGAGGTCGAGATGGCCAGGACGTCCGCCATACTCCACACCGAGCAACAGTGCGTGGCGCTAGCTATCTCCAAATCGGTTGTCGAGCGCAAAAATAGTCACTGACGTTCGGCACTTTGGCCGAAGTGGCGTTTCCCTCCTGTAAGGAGCTGAAGCTGCAGCTGTTACAAGTGTTCTCGCCGCCTAACCAATCATATTGCGTGCGATCGCATTTCCTTGCCGTTCGACAGGGCAAGAAGGAATTAACGGACTTTGTTCAAGAGTTTGTATTGCAGCGAAGCTGCCGTAGCCCTTTGCTTAGAGGAAGCTAAGCTAAAGTTACCGACCTTATGTTCTATATCAGAACCAGTACGAGTGTAGCGGGTCGCAATCCGTTACCTCCAAGAGTTCTTAAAACCTTAAGCAAGGCAAAGGCGCTCTTCCATTCAAAATTGAAATTGCATTCAGTTGTTTTACCTACA